TCAATTGCAACTGATGCGCGTGTTGAGGTTGTTGCGGAGGGAACGGAGGAGTGGGCGACGTCAGATGATGACCCTGATATCGTGAATGCAATGATTGATTTGGAGCTTGAGCGCATAGAAAGCAACAGCAGCACAACCACCACAAGCAGCGACGACGACGGGAGTGACTCTGACCAAGACGAAGCGACACCGACCGCACCGACACGTGCGGAAGTTTACAATGCCCTGACAGTTCTCAACAGACTGTGTGAATCCTCTGCATCTCTCCGTCCCACATGTACACTTGTGTCTCGTGTTCGCAGCGACGTTGATGCCTTCTTTATGTCCAAGACGCAAAAGCAACCCACACTGCACTCATTCTTTGGTCCACACACACAATAAACACGCTCATTCCACACCGGCAACTTTCTCTACATTGGAAACTTTTGGGCTTGCCACACCTAGTTGCCAATATAGAGAACTGCCTGTACACACACAAGCACACACACACACACACACAAGCACACACACACACACACGCGCACAAGTCTCCAACAACAGCATCACCATCATGAATGTACAACAGATATGTGTAATCCCATACACAGGTGTGCTGTTCCATCTGTTCCGTGACTATGAACCTCAATCACTTCCAAAATCAAAGGAGGAGTTATTGAATATAAGGCACTCCAGTTTGAGGTCACGAACAGAGCGAGCATTTGGTGTTCGAGCTGAAGTCGTCATGCCCAGTCAGCACTTCATTTGCGCTGGAAATGCGCGACCACACTGCCCTCACAAAGGCCTGCCTTCCATTAGCTTGCCGCCGGCAGACCCCGCTCTGAGACCTGCATTGTGTCTCGGTATGCCAGCCCGCGAATCTGTTCAACCACCAATCGTCTTCCTCTCGCTTTTACATAGGCAGTTGTCCCATTTAAATGCCAGGATGACTTGCACGATGTGGCCGTTGGCTGTGCTTGCTGCGCTTGCTGTGCTGAACCGCGGGTCATGTCTGGCTGTGTTGGCGCATGATGGCCCTGCCAGCTGGCGTTGGTGTCAACTTGCGAGCATTCATGACACTGAGTGTGCGTGTGACGCATCCCACACCTTCGTTGTTTTGAACCGGACGCACGAGTGTGTCTTTCGCGTTGTGCCTGCTGGCGCTGGCGGTGCTGCTCTTCACTCACCAGGATACTCGTCGCCTCCGTCGCCGCCACTGCAGTCTCGCACCATCAGCGCAAGTGATGCGGGCTCGCGGTTCCTGGGGGTGGTTCACAATCACACGCACGGAGGAAGCCCGTTGACGGCTAACGCTGTTCTGAAGCGCCTCTTGCACGTGGTTGAGGATGTGCGCAGATCTACCTGGAGCGATCACCCTGCCACCCTTGCGCATATCGTTCACATCTTGGACGGCGCGCTTGTGGAACAGGAACAGGCGAATAGCCATCTCAACACCCTCGCTTCCGTGTTGGAGGCAATGCCTGTGGATGGTGTCACTGTGACGGTGGTCACGCGCGCTGAGCATCGGGCTGATCCGGAGCAACTGCGAGTCCTGGATGCACTTGGGGATCCCTTGGCTTCCGACGAATACGCAGACCTGACGTTCTTCAACAAGGCCTTTACCCTGAAGAAGCTTCTGCAAGCGCGGCGATCAGCCCTGGCAAACTCATTGCAAGCCCACCTTCTCAATCAAGGCACGTGCATGCCTTGCGATCATATCATGTCATGCTGTCACTTTGCGTATCGTTGCCTACTTGTTTCGCCCGCTTCCCCGCCACCCCTCCTTTCGTTTGCCCTTCAAAGGCCGGCACTCTGCACAACTCCAACGCCTCTGATTGTTGGTCGCCAAGGTATGGGAGTGTCTTTGCTGTATCTGATCACAACGTGGCCGTGGCGCTAAATCTACCGGTGTTTGCGCTGCAGGTGTGTTGTGTCGCTTCGTGGAGGTTGAGAACCTTCAGAAGCACACGGGGACTATTCTGGATTTGTTTGTGTCCGCGTCTTGGGAGCACACCTTTGCGGCGCTGGCATCTTCTTCCAGACCCTCCAGTAAGCCCCCGTGTAACGGCTGTGACATGCCTTGTGCCTGCTTTCCCCCCTGTTTTGTGAGGTCTGCCCTTGTCGCGTTGTGCAATCATGGCGCTGTGCTGCTGCTGCTGCTGCTGCTGCTGTATTCGCTCACACCCACGTTTATGCATCCCAACGCCAGGCTTTCGTGACATGATGCCAGCGTCCATCGGATCCCCGACCTTCGCTCGCTATCGTTGGTCCACGAACCTCGCCACTACAGCAGTGCCAGTGAAGGTCAGTTACCTTTTGCGCGCGGGTGCTGTTGTATGCTTGGATGCTTGGATGCTTGTTTGTTTGTTTGTTTGTTTGTTTGTTTGTGCGCGTGTGTGTGCTGTGTATGCGTGTGTGCTTTTGTGATTGCTGTTTGTGTGTGGTTTGTGTGATGCACCAATCTCCAACGACGTTGGAACACAGTCACGAACTCGCACTGACTGACATGCAACCGCCCTGTTCCAAACACACACAGGAATGGGATGCCACGTCCCCCATTGCACCTGCAGTTGTACCCGATGGCGTCCCTGTGGTTCTGCGCCACAGTGTCGTGGGCACCTGGTCCGGAGCGCACGCGTGGCGAAACAACGTGTCCCGCTTCCTGCACGACCTGGCCGATGCATGCCCAGTACTACACCAACCCTGTTCTGCTGATGTCGGTGTTGGACACACAAGAGACACCAGCAGCGCTCGCGATCGGTACAGCGACGGCGGCAATTGTGATGATGATGATAACATGGGTGAAGGTGGTGGTCGTCATCGTCATGCTGAAGAGCACAGATGCACGGCAGAATGCGAGAACAAGTATGCCAACCAGTCGAACAAGCAGGTCTGACAGCTTGCTCTTGGTGTCCGTCTTTCTGTGTCTCTGCACGTGCGTTGTGTGTCTCTCTGTGATCGCCAGTTTTGCATGAAGTGCTGTGTAGGATGAACACACAATGCATAACATCCCGCTGTCTTTGATTCACACACACACACACATTTGTACGTGTTTTGTGGTCTGTGCAGCATCTGTCCCTTGCGTCTGATCTGGCCTGTGCCATCGTCTCAGGTGACGACCTGAAGGCCCACACCATCACCACTTCCAGCGCCGGAGACAGCGAGAGTGAGGAAAGCTCCTGGCATCCAAGATCATCGTCACCAGCGTCACCACCATCGCCACCCTCACCTCCACCATCGTCATCAGCGGTGTTTTTCAACGTGAAGACATCTGAGCACGGCCGCCACTTTGATGCGGACATGCGCGCAGCAATGACGCGCCTGCCCACCCTGCACAGCGCCGTCGACTTTCGTGTTCGCAACTTGACGCTCGCACAGATGGATGCACTGCTGCTGCAGGCGCAGCGCTGCCACACGGGGGATGGCGGTGGCGGTGATGATGGGTGTGATCAAGACGTGGGTGATCAGAGCGACGGGTGTGCAAACGCGGAACAAGAAGCAGAGACACCCAAGAACACACTCAATGACAACAACAACAACAACAACAACTTAAACAACAACAACTTAAACAACAACAACAACAACAACTTAAACAACAACAACAACAACAACAACAACAACAACAATAACAACTTAAACAACAACAACAACAACAACAACAACAACAACAACAGCGACAATTGCAACAGTAGCACCAGCGTGAGTATGGTGTACTTCACGGCGCTGCCGGAAGCGTTTGTGGATGAGCACCTGCACCCCGTGCGCAGCGTGTTCTTGACGGAGGACGATGTGCGGTTGCGGCGGCAGTTCGCGTGGGTGTCCACACGCGGCAGTATCACGCACACGCACTTTGACCAGGACTACAACGTGTTCGTGCAGCTGTCCGGGCGCAAGCGCTTCACGCTGTTTCCGCCGTCGCAGACACGCAAGCTGGCGCCGTATCCGCGGCTGCACCCGCTGTGGCACAAGAGCAAGGTCGACTTCACGCGCCCAAACCTCGCCCTCTTTCCCGAATACGCCCACGCGCGTGCAGTGGTGGCGGAGGTTGGGCCCGGGGACGTGCTGTACGTGCCGCCGTACTGGTGGCACCACGTGGAGACGCTGACGGCCACGTCGCTCTCGCTGTCGACCGTCTCGCACGACGACGCAACGCGGCAGGCGATGGAGGCCGTGTACGGGATGGACCACAAGTTTGACCGGCTGGCCAGCGCCCGCGGGCGGGTGTTTGCGCTGCGGCTGTACCTGGACCTGATGGTGCACGAGCTTGTTGGCAACCACGTGAACGAGACGCAGCGGTTCTTCGAGGGGCTCGTGGCGCGGCGGTACAGGGGCATGGAGGACCACTTTGAGGACGACCCGCACGTGTGCGACGCAGCGCAGCGCGGGCGCATCCCAACGTCGCAGCACGTGTTTGGGGACTGCACGACAGACAAGGTGCTGGTGACGTCACACTTCTCGGAGCTGCCGCCGGCTGTGCGGGACCTGCTGTTTGATGAATACGTGGAGGAGCTGGTGGCGGAGGTAGTGGGGCCGTCGCGCGTGCTGTCCTTCTTCAAGTACTGCTTTGCAGGGCAGGACTATTACGTGACGTCACTCGGGGACGACGAGCACGAGCTGTGGGAGTACAAGGGAGACGACGACGACGACGACGACGACGACAATGATGATGATGGCGTTGACAGTGGTGATGGTGATGGTGATGGTGATGGTGATGGTGATGATGATGGTGATGATGGAGGGGATGGTGATGGTAATGATGATGAGTAGGGGGTAGATCGTTGGGTGAGTGGATGGCTATTTGAATGGATGCAAGCAGGTGATTGACTGCTCTGTTCTCTTCTTTTGTTTTCTTGAGTGTGCGTGTGAACCGCAAGCTGGCTTTGGCGGGGGGGGGGGGGGGCGGGGGAAAGGCTGACAGCCACATTTACACGTCACGTGTTATGCCAGTGCATGTTGACAATCTGTTTAACGGGTGGAAGTACGTATGTAAATGAAGCAGCATGTCTTTGCGCGTTGGGGGACAGCGCACAGCGCAACAGTCACCAGGAGGCGGGAACGCTATTGACATGAACATGTTACATTGCCTATGAACAGCACACGAAAGTGTTGAAAGAGGTTGCACACATGCGCACAATGACACACATGTACACATACACGCATCTGATTGCATGTGTGTGGTTACAAGACTTCGCAATGCGTGATGTAATCGAGGTTTGGGAAGTTGGCTTCAAGGTACCTGCGTGCGTGCGTGTGCGTGTGCGTGTGTGTGTGGGGTGGGGGGGGTGGT